CAAGCTATGACGAGGTACGCCACCCTATCGGCGATAAGCTTTCATTTGGGCATCACTGACCCAATTCTGTTACTTAGCGGCAATGCACATACTACTTCCCGGAGCAATTCCCTGACGGCCCACAGGCTCCGAATGTCGACGCCACGAACTCCGCGTATGACGGTTGGTTCGTGAACATCACCAACCTGTTCTTCGGCAATGGCCACCGTACGTACCACCGCCCCTCCTCTTTGCCCAGGGCGTGGGGCTGATAGGTTATCTTCTGCTCTGTCGGCAGGCGATCCTTGGCGCGAGGCGACGAAGTCTGCAGACGGGACGAACTTTACGAGCACGTCATGGGAGCCCATCGCTATCGGCGACGGCTTCCACTGCTCCGATCTATTGACTGAAAATGCACTGGTGGACGAGACGGTGGCCGCAGTGCAGACTGAGGGGTTGGCATCAATGAAAGAGTGGCTTGCGGGATGGGAACCGTCGGTGTCAAGCCACAAGTGATGCATTCACTAACAAAGGCGGTGACGGCCTTTATTGACTTGATGGGTCGCTGGCTGCCTGATGGCGTCGAAACCTTGCAGGGTGTGACTGTTACGAGTAGCAATGGTATTATGAACCGTGGGTGGGTCGTCTGACAGCACTCGACTACAGTAACCCTGGTTGGAGGGCCCTGGGGTGAATGCCTCCTGTGCTTGCGAATAGGCCTTCTCCAGGCAAATTGACATATGTGGCTATGCTCAAAGTCCAAGCACCCCTATTCAAGACATGAGAGTGGTTGGAGCTAAGAGGGAGACGAGTGGCCGGGCATTGTTCCTTCTTTCATTGATAGCGCGCGATCAACGTCCATGCAGAGCCGAGGGAAGCTGAGGTGTCCGCTGGGGCTAAGACCTTCCGTGCGAGTCTGATGGCATTCTGATGCTAGGCGCTGCGCGCACCCGAGCCCGAGTTGAAGTGGTGAGCACGGCCGGCGTGTGCTCAGCGGAAGACTGAGAGGACGTTAACCTCGTCAGACACAACAACGGCGGGCTCCCACACGGCGCTGCGGTTGCCAACGCAGCCGACAGACGACGGAGCGAGTCGCAAGCAAGAGCTGTCCGGGGCGGGCTTCCAAGAAAGGCAGGAGGCCGGCCGGGCGGCTGTGGGTTGCGACAAGGGAGGCCGGATAAGGCGCTGGCGTGAGAAGTCACGTGGAAACCCTCTGCCCACAACCCTCTGCCCTGGCCACTTTAGGATTTCCCATTTATTGGCGACCACCGTCTTTTCATCCTCAACCTGCACCACCTCCTCTTATCCCATCACGTACGTGTCCCTCCTCGTTGCTCGTCCCTTTTGACTTACCTAGCCTCACCCTGCAGTCCCCGCTTTACTTATCTCCCTATACTCCATCGCAGTGAGTTGTGACGCGTTCGACGCGTACCCAGTTACTGACGGGCTGCTCCAGATGGCCACCCAGTCGCGTGAAGACTCGGTCTACCTCGCCAAGCTCGCGGAGCAGGCTGAGCGTTACGAGGGTGAGTGGTCCCGTTTCCGCAGAAGCGTGACACCGTGTGACGCGACGCGACATGTACAGAGATGGTCGAGAACATGAAGCTTGTCGCGTCCTCCGACCAGGAGCTCACCGTCGAGGAGCGCAACCTCCTTTCCGTCGCATACAAGAACGTTATCGGTGCACGCCGTGCGTCATGGCGCATCGTCTCCTCCATTGAGCAGAAGGAGGAGTCGAAAGGCAACGAGGCCCAGGTTCACATGATCAAGGGTTACCGGGAGAAGATCGAGAGCGAGCTCGCGAAGATCTGCGAGGACATCCTTGACGTCCTTGACAAGCACCTTATTCCCTCAGCCGCGTCTGGTGAATCCAAGGTGTTCTACCACAAGATGTACGTATCGTGCATCTCTTCTGTTGTTGGCCCATCTCACCTAGTCGTTCAGGATGGGTGACTACCACCGTTACCTTGCCGAGTTCGCCACTGGCGACAAGCGCAAGGACTCTGCTGACAAGTCGCTCGAGGCCTACAAGGCTGCGTCCGATGTTGCTGTTACTGAGCTGCCCCCCACCCACCCCATCCGTCTCGGTCTCGCGCTCAACTTCTCCGTCTTCTACTACGAGATCCTCAACTCGCCCGATCGTGCCTGCCACCTTGCGAAGCAGGCATTCGACGATGCAATTGCTGAGCTCGACACCCTCTCAGAAGAGAGCTACAAGGACTCGACCCTCATCATGCAGTTGCTCCGTGACAACCTCACCCTCTGGACTTCGGACATGCAGGAGTCAGGTACGTGTTCATATGAACGAGGATATAGGCTTCGTATTGACTTCGACCACAGACAAGCCTGGTGAGAAGGAGGATGAGGCTGCTGCTGAGGAGTAACCGTTTGTCGCCATCTCCGCCCAGGTCGCTACATCATCGTCTTGACGGTACCCTGTACCTGCTTTAATGTTGCCCCCTCTGCATTGTTCTAGTATCGTATTCATCGCACCTACCTCGTCGCCGTCATCGCGCATGCATTATTCATCTTCCTATTTTCTCGTCATCTCTAGCTTTCTCATGATACCAGATGGTCTGCCGTAGAGCAGGAGAATGTCCGGTAGTGTCATAGTGGGCTCTTGTCAGTGAAATGGAAAGGAAACACCAGTATCATCATGAATGTCCTGGTGTGTCGTGTCGTGTGTCACTTGGGGTTGTGATAGTGATGCTCCACTGTAAGATGCAGGGTTGTTCGGTTTTGGCGGCTGCAGATGAAAGTTGGAGGCTATCAAGAACATGCACTACTGGGCTTATGGCCGCCACATCTCGTCCGCAGCGATCTGTGTTGCGGCGCTGGCCACGCCTCAGGATATATACGTGAGTGTGCATCTTGTACATGTAATTTTCATCTGCCAATCACCCGCTCGGTGTCAAGCAGTCTTGTTGGGACCATCATCAAATACTATTTCCGACCGCCCCGAAAGCTTTACGCCGGTTGCCGTTAGGTCCCTCTCTGAGCGAATAGTGAAATGGGCGGTGAGCTCGAGTCTATCTGTCGCGAGCGGTTCGTTTATCGGCTTCGCTTTCCTGGTGCCGCTGTACACGAGAGTACTGACATGTCCATGCACATAGATGATCCGCGCGAGACGCATGTAGCGTCGGACGTAGGTTGGCTTGCATTGCGGCATGTGTACGTTGTGATCAAGGTGCGTCGTCCGCAGTGTCTACGTGAATTTTGTTATGACCTTGCGACATGTTCCGAGCGATTTGAGAAGCTTCTGAGCTTCGTCAAGACGCGTACCATTATACAGAACACAATAATACAGTATTCGGGGCTTTTACGCGGTTTCTAGATGTTTGATACCACGCATACGACGCAGCGCCCGATGGGGACCATGTCTAGCGGCGATCTTTTAATCATGTTCTGGCAAGCGCACCGCCCTAGGCACGGATAGAAGACAGAATCCGTCCAGCAGCCACCAGTCTAGCGGTTGGCAAGCTATGTGGGTTGCGCAGACGACCGCAACGCGAATTGATAGGACGCACGCAACGCACAGACCAGTTGATAGATGCGTGCGTCCTTCAGCAGGCAGTTCGGTACCAGTCTCTGCCGAGCTGTGTGTGTCCTTGCTGTGCAGGTGATAGGGTTCTTATTTTTGATTATATCATTTGCCAGCTCCCTGCCCCGCGATCACGCCCTGCGCAGCTGCATTGCGGCACGTTCAGCTCATGAAGCACCGATCTATAAGATTGGCAACCATCGCAGTTCTGTGTATATTGCAACCGATTCGCAACAAGCAATTCTATGTATGGAGTAGCTCGTTGTGTAAGTGGCGACCGTGAATATTACCGATTCTGAAATCTGGACTTTTCCTCGCAGACCGACCTTTGATGAATGCTACTGCAGATGTGCAGCGATACAATGCCCACGGTGCGCTGTGCTGCCCGATGCATTTGAATCCTCGTTGATCTCAGTCATTTGGTGCACCTGCCCTTGAAGCCGCGCTTTGCTGTGGACATACTCCCGCACTTATGATGATGCACCGACGCATCATACTGGAGGAATTTGACTCTATGACCACCGTGTTCGAACTCACAGCCCGTTGTTGGCTATTGCTGCACGGTATTTTTTTCTGTAGCGATTCCACCGCCAATCAGCTTCTTAATTCGGCCTGACGCGTCCGAGTCACCACGCCGTGAAAATGCTGTCGAGCCGGCGCTTTCCACACTACGCTCCTCCTCCGCGCTCCGGATCAAACATGTCCTCGTTAATGCAGCATCGGTGTCAGAAACCCGCTGTTGTGCGTGTCCTGCCCATCGCGCGGATCCAGCGTGAATACACTGTCACGGAGACAAATGATGTACGGTTTCCTTTCCAAGCTCATTGTCCGCGTCGAGCGCTGAGGCGTCAACATTTCGAGGGATGACACGCTTCTACCCTCACTGACGGAGGCGATCCTATGGAAGAGAAAGGCGAGCGCTTGAGTCTACCTGTTGCTAGTGATAATGATTGACTTGTATATTACTCTCGCAGTCACGGTCACTGCACTGTGCAGCACATCCTCGCCCAACTGCCTCGGAACTATTGGATGCACAGCCAAGAGGTGCAGTCCACTACAGTCGTACTGACTCACCGTTCATTCAGACTCTGCCGTTCGCACCGTGCCAATCTACGTTCATCTCAGAGATCACTGTAGACTAGGGCACCACTAGTGCCTCCCTTGTTCGTCATCAGAGTGGGCGAGGGAAGGTCTTGGCGAGGAAAATAATATGGTGGGTCCTAGTTCCTCCCTGGGGTAGGTATACCATAACCCTGTTTCATTCATTTATAGCACTGTCAACGTTTTCCCAATAATCATTTGGACGTATGACCAGCCGCACGATAAAATTTTAGTAGAATCCCCAGGAGCACACAGTGACCGTAAATTTAGTTTTCTGCATCAAAGAATAGCTACGATGTAACAGTGATTTCTCATCGCAGTGTGGAAAATACGAAGTTTCGACCACCAATTATACCAGGCTTGGATCATGGTTCTGCAAGCCCCCGTTGTCTAATGGTTATGACGTCAGACTTCTAAGCATAACTGCTTATGTAATTCAACATCTGGAGGCTGCGAGTTCGAGTCTCGCCGGGGGCTCATTGTTTTTGTCCAGAAACATCCATGTTCTAGGTAAGGCTCCAACCCAAAGGCCATGTTCACCTTGTTACATTGGATAAGAATTTACAATTCATGAATTCACTGTTTGTAACATATAATGTTGTTCAATGTATTGGTATCATGATGTATGCAACCAGTATGAGTGTGATATTTGTTTCAGGCACATATTAAATGAGTCTCTTGCAACCATACCAATACATGGAATCTGTGATCATGTCTAGTGTGTATGGCCTTTCCTTGGCATGTCTAGAGCTATAACTAGGTTCAATCTCAGGGCTATGTATGGCATTCAAATGTAAGTCATGTGACTATGTCAGGACAGCTCAAGATTGACTGGTTCTGAGAATACTATTAGTGGTGAGACTGCTTATTGTGGTTATTGTAAACTATTGCTGTGACCTCTTCAATGAGTGTGGTGAGAATTCCTTACTACTTGAGAATTTCATTTTGATGTGGAATAGTTGTGTTATAGCTAGGTGGAGAATCCAAAACATAGTTTGAATAATGTGATTGGGTATCCATGATTATTGCTGACATGTGCTGACCAACAGTAGTGGCATAATTGTTTCACTGCTCACCCTGTGACAACCATCCCCTGCAGGTTCACCACAGAGGAATTGAGTGTCCTCTAGCACCTGAAGCAAATGAAATCAGTTGGGTGGGCCCTGCCCAAGGAAAAGGGAGGCGAGCAGAGGCAACATGCCTGCTCAGGAGATGGTAAGAGGGTATCCCTTGTACCAAACTAGGGCAGAGGAGTGTTGGCCATCCGAGGATTGTCAATGGTGTAAGCTTTGCCAATAGTGATGTAAAGGTGAATCATGGTATATACAAGCCTGTACACCTCCACAAAGGGCAAGTAGACGAGCAAGAAGCAAAGAAAACAAGAAAATGAGACAAAAGATGAGCAAGTGAGATGATGATGATCCTCTGCAAGGAGCTAAGCTACTGACTACATGATTAGAACATGTCTACCCTACCTGTATGTGAATGTGCGCATCCCGTGTCTAAACTCACTCAAACCTCACCCAGGATACCTCCTGCAGGCCCAACTCTAATACCCTGACACACTCAGTATTACTCCTTTGCTTCCAAGGCCCCCTTAGTTCTGGGCAGCAGACCACCAGTTGGGTGACACGGATGGGACCGAGGATGGGGATCAAACCATGTTGCGAGTTCGAGTCTCGTCGGGGGCTCATTGTGGCAGGGGACCACTAGTTGGGTGACACTGTGAGTACTCTTCTTGCTTGATTTTAAATGTTGTTTTTGTTCTGACTTTGATTGACGAAGCGCCTGATCCGCCGGATTGGCTAGCCGCAATTCCGGGATGTCGGCGAAGGTTCTGTCGTGGCAGATAGCACCGGATGAACTCAATCAGATAGGGGTGATGTGTCGTGCTAGCATCCTCATGTACTTCACGTAAGGTGTGAGAACTCAGCGGGATACGGATACAGCTCGTTCACCACAGCAAGCACCACCGCCTCTTACCAAGTTAGCATGTGTGGCACGACTGCCAATTCGCCGCGCCGCTGGAAGGGAAATGTTAGCCGGCGGAGAAACACGCGCGGCCAGCGCAGGTATCATGGGAGCAGGAATGTATTGTATTACGGCGTCGGTAGGGCGGCAACAAAGTTGACAGCGCAAGCTAACATCGCGGACTGATCAGCAAGTTGCTCCATTTCGCCTGTGATCATCATCGGAAGGGTGCATCAGAAGGGCCCACGAGTAGAGATCTGGCGAAACGCCCGCCAAACAAGCAACGGCGGGACGGTGACGGCCGATGCGCCCACAGCGCGCTGATGGGAACGCGGTCGGAAGTCCGATCAGGGGACGGCGGTCAAGTGGGGTCTGTTGTTGGAGGTTCCCTGTTGTGACGGGGATGAGGAGGACGAAGGGGGAGCATGTGGCGGGGGGCGAGGGTTGTGTGTGCGGCGTGGACGGGTCTCTGGCGTCTGGCTGGGCGGAAACGGAAGAGAAGATGCCGGAAATGGCGAAGCACCCACAAGGTTCTGGTGCGTGTGGCGCGGTGCTTGTTTCATCGTGATGCTCCCGCCACAGTTGGATCGGGCTGGATCTCCTCATTGATCCCGCACCCGCCGCCTGTCTCGGTGCCCCTGGCCGCCCCTGCCACTTAGCCGCACCACGGACAACAATAAACATGGCTTTGTTGTGCGTGCGCTCCCCATGAGGAACTGACAGCGGCCGCGATCATGGGAGACGACGGATCGGGGCTTCAAATATCAACTCCGCGGCGATTAACGCTCCCACGGGGAAGGGCGATGGGTGGTGGCTATATTGAAGCACCGCTCCTTCGGCCTCTAACCCACGGCGCTCTGTCCTTTCTTCGGGTTCCGTTACCACGACCACCATGCATGCGAGCCCCACTCCTCGCGGCACTCCCGCCCGTAGAGGTCGCTCGCCCCGCCCCAGTACCGCCAGCCCCGGCGCATCCTCAATGCCCATCGAAATATCCAGCAGACCCCCGACTACTTTCACCTCCTGCGTCTCTATCGCGGTCGAGGGTACCACTCCCATCGAGCGCCCCGACTCCTCTGCACCCTCCACATCCGTAGTCGAGGCACCACCTGCCTCTGGTCCCGAGAGCAGACGAGCGCCCCGCAAATCCAAGACCGACGCCATCGCCGCGCTCCATCATCACGCGCAGTCCAACTCTGACGATGTGCCCGAGTCAGTCACTGAAGAAGGTGCGATCCGTATAAACCTCAGAGAGGGCCCCCCAATCCGCGTCGCGCCTTTCCTCGACCTCTCTACTGTCAAGACCCCCAATCGCGCCCTCAACGTCCCCAATGCCACCGACCGACCATTTGGTCTGACCGACTGTCCGGTATTCCACCCTACCCTCGAACAGTGGAAGGATCCTCTCCGATACATCAAATCCATCTCCGACAATGCTAGGAAATATGGGATGTGCAAGATTGTGCCACCCGCCGGATGGAGCATGCCTTTCATTACGGATACCGAGGTGAGTTCTCTAGCCGACATGCCCGCGTGTGCACGTCGTTTACACACTCGCAACAGCGCTTTCGTTTCAAGACGCGTTTGCAACGCCTCAACTCTATTGAGGCATCGTCCCGCGCCAAGGTCAATTTTCTGGAACAGCTCTACAGGTACCACAAGCAGCAGGGCAATTCACGTGTCACGGTGCCCACCATCAATCATAAACCTCTTGACTTGTGGTTGCTGCGTAAAGAGGTCCAGAAGCAGGGAGGCTATGAGGCGGTATGCCACTCGTCGATTTTTCGTGTGGCACTTTCATGACCCTACCCGACATAGGTCACTCGCAACAAGAAATGGGCTGATCTCGGTCGTCTATTGGGATACTCTGGAATCCCTGGGTTGTCGACACAGATGAAGAACTCCTATGCCCGTGTTATCTTACCATACGAGAACTACCGGGAACGAGTACGCAACTCGACTACTCTGTCGCCAAAGAAGCAAGGGGACCCGCAACTCAAGACGCATGCAGCGGGGAAGCGCACAGGAGAAGATGATGAGAGCGAGCCATCTAGCCCGCTAACCGCAACGAGCAGTCCTTTGTCCGAGCCGCCAGATGAAGTCTCGGGTCGTCCTCGCCGAAATACGCGGCAAGCGTCGATGGAGCAAGCTGGCCGTGAGTCCCCATTGTCTTCTAGTCTTGCCGAGGTTTCCTCATCAGTTCTCCATCAGCTCGCCGCGCGGCTGCCAACGACAGCGACAACCTGCCGTTCGCTCGGTCCGCGGCTAGCCAAGCCGACAAAGACGGCAACCCGGAGGTTCGTGTGAGCCACTTATTTTTTGGTCCTAGATTGTGGCTCAATGTATTGTAGCTGCATTGCGAGGTCTGCCTGAAGAAGGATCGTGGCGAGGAGATGCTGCTTTGCGATGGATGCGATTGCGGTATGTGGCACACGACATGTGCTAGCTGTCTTGACCTAAACATGTTTAGGCTTCCATATGTTCTGCCTCGACCCACCGCTGGGAGCCATACCCAAGGGACAGTGGTTTTGCCACACTTGCCTCATGGGCACCGGCGGTGACTTTGGCTTCGATGAAGGCGAAGAACACACACTATCCACTTTCCAGGCTCGTGACCTCGAGTTCCGTCGGCTATGGTTCAAGTCCCACCCACCATCGCAGACGGAGCGCGATGGGGATGTGAAGATGACTAAGAAGCCCGAAGCCAACGACCCGACGGTCAATGTGTTCGATGATGTTGTCGTGACGGAGACGGACGTTGAGAACGAGTTTTGGCGCCTCGTGCAAAGCCAACAGGAGACTGTGGAGGTCGAGTACGGTGCCGACGTACATTCGACAACGCATGGCAGGTGAGTTGACTGTATGCGGTGGACGTCCCCTACATTGATTCAGGTATTCTGGGTATCACAGCGGGATGCCCACGCTTGAGACGCATCCACTAGACCCTTACTCCAAGGACCCGTGGAACCTGAACAATGTCCCCATTCTCTCAGACAGCCTACTTCGGTACATCAAGAGTGATATATCGGGCATGACCGTGCCGTGGACTTACGTCGGGATGGTGTTCTCGACATTCTGTTGGCACAACGAGGTACGCCACACGTCGCCTGCTTTTGGTATACCATTGCTGATCGTTATCGGCGGAGTAGGATCACTACACGTACAGCATCAACTACAGTGAGTTCTGATTGGTCGTTTCCAAACCTTGTTCTCACAAGCGCGGGATTGAAATAGTGCACTGGGGTGAGACCAAGACCTGGTACAGCATCCCCGGTGAGGACGCGGAGAAATTCGAGGCGGCGATCAGAAGGGAAGCTCCGGATCTCTTCGAGGTCCAGCCCGATCTGTTGTTCCAGTTGGTCACCTTGATGAACCCGAAGCGACTGAAGGAGGCTGGCGTCGACGTATACTCCTGCAACCAGCGTGCAGGCGAGCTCGTCATTACCTTCCCGAAGGCCTACCATGCGGGATTCAATCATGGGGTACGTTTTAGTTTACCTGCAGGC